TGGCCCGAACAACAGCATGTTTTGTCCTTACACTAGTGGAGAAAGCCTTTACTGATTCATTTTTATACCTAAATTTCACATACCTTGAAATTTATGTAACTTGCTCTAGGTACGCTATTGGGACCAGAGATGTGCGGGGCATTGATTTTCCATCCCCCGCGGGGCCCGCCCCGTAAAATTCACAAACCCGTCCCGTCCGAACCCCGTGGTTATTCTTTTTGAGAATCCCCGCCCCGCCTGTGCCCCGGCAAATCTATACCCGCTCCGCCCATATCCCGCACAGGCAGCTTCTTGGACCAGCCCGCCCGACCCGCCATTTTTGTGACGGGCCCCGACCCGTCCCCGTGTAACCCGAAGAAATTTTTTATTTACCAGATACTTTATTTTTAATGACGCATTCCTTTTATGAAAAATCATTTTTTACAAAAACAAAACTCAAGTCTATATGAGATGGTTTTAAATGGTTCACTTTATGATTGTCGACAAGCACGTATTTTTGTGGTTGTTCTTTTAAAAACATTTTTATATTTGACGAATTACATTTAATATTACTCGATGGGCAATGACTGAGAGATGAAGAAATAATTGTAGATGAACGATCAGTATTCGACGAAGCTGTCCTATTAAGTGATTCATCAGGAGATAAATCATGTAATTCGATGATACTTATTAGGTCTGACCAAAAGTTCTGGCAACATTATATAAAAATATAAAGGTAAGTAGGCAGCTTTAATTTTATTTTATCAAATATTGAGGACAGTTGCCATGATTATTTATACCAAGTTCGAACCTTTCCAACAATTTGTTAAAAGTTTTTTTCGAAAAAAGTTTTAGATATCGCACGAGCTTATCATGTTTCATTTATTTAATCAGTTAAACTACACTTAATAGAATTAGTTAGCGAAAAGTTACATAGTATCAGGCCTGGCGAATATGATAGATATGATATTATATTGATGCCTTCTTCTGTCATGCAATTAATAACATTAGATGAGTATGAAGTCAACGATGACCGTCAAGCAATTTTGTACATTATAAACCTGATGTCTCTGTTTGTTTCCATATTTGATTAATAAAATGTTTTGGAGAGCGTTCAGCCTAATACTTGTGACTTACAGTCTTGCCTTTATCTACATTCAGGAGTATTTGATTTAAAAAATATACCAAACAAAGCATTTTCTAAAATCTTTATTCATGAACAATAGTCTTTGACGATTCATCTTCAATAAGCCAGCCAGCATCGGATAACTTATGACTAACCTATCTAAAATAAATCTATATCTCATCACTAGTAGTACTAGAATGCAACTGATATGATCGAACAAGATTTTGCTAACTTTTCACAATAAATGAAATATGATTAGCTCATGCGGTATCCATGATACATAAAAATTTTTCGAAAAAACTTCAAAAAACTTTTAACTAATCGTTGGAAAGGATCAAACTTGGTATAAATAATCATGGCAACTGTCCTCAAAATTTGATAAAATTAGATTAAAGATATCTCCTTATCTTTATATTTTTATATAATGTTGTCAGAGCTTTTGGCCAGACCTAAGTAGTAATTCACAAAAAAATTCAAACGATAATTCTAAATATAAAATAAGTTTTCGTCCAGTTATTCACTTAATATAAATTGATAGTAGAAGTTGCGTATGACAGACGATAAAGAAAGAAAGAAACAAACAAATGGTAGACAATCTTGTACATAATAGGATGAAAGTAATGAACCAATCAATATGTACTTTGTACTACACACCTATACTAAGGACATCCCGTGATAAGTTTTGACGATCTTTCATCACACCCGAAAAAAAATGTTTACCCGCCCGAACCCGTGTATTTCATACCCGCTCCGCCCGAGACCCGTGTATTTCACACCCGCTCCGCCCGAGACCCGTGTCATTTAAAAAAATTATTACCCGCCCCGCCCGCCCGTGTGCCGGAAAATACCCGCGCCCCGTTAATCCCGCGTTTAATTAAATTTTTCTTCCCCGCCCGCCCGTCGCCACGTGGCCCCGCGAGGCCCGCGGGGTGAACCCCGTGGACCGCACATCTCTGATGGGGACGTAATATTTTAAATTTATTAGTTTGGCGGTGAGACCTTTCATTTGACCCGAACATGGTCGATCAACTCGATTAACAATACAGACGGTTCCATTGTAAGTTCTAAATATTCGAAAACATCAACTACCACTCAGCAGCAGCCAGAAGCAGCCGAAGTTTTTGAGTATTTTGGCTCTAACACCATAACTTATTGGGTAAATTTGAATACTTTTTTTTTACTAAAATGATCAGCGCAACGAGGTTTACAAAGTTCTACAGACAAAAAAATCTTCTGAGAACTCTGTGTTATTTACGGTTGACTACTCAGGGAAGTACCCATTAAAAATACAATTCGCAAACATTTTATCGTTGATAGTTAAGTTCTCTTTAAGAAAAAAACATCAATTAGAATTTATTGCCATTAGAAAAGAATTAGTATATAATATCAACATGTTGCTCTCTATAATTTTTTTTGTAAGACTGTTTGTGATATCTTAGGCAAATAAACAGAGATTCAATGATAGCAAAGCTTTATTTTCTTTTTTCTACAGACTATGTCAATACTTATTATCTATATCTTGATAAGAATGTAAATTTTAAAGCATAAATATAAAATATTTGTCCTTGCTATTGGAAAAATGAAAAATAAAATGAGCTTGTAAAAGAAATGAATATTTTTTATTCCATCTGTGCCTTGTTTTTTTTTTCAACATGAAATACTAATAAATTATATTCTGTATACAACTACACTTCTTCATTGCTCTTATATGAATAAATGCAAAATTATGTGAAAATACATCTGTTGGGAAGCAAACAGAGCGTCCTCTAGAAAATTCTTTAAAAAAAATGGTGTCATTTCCATCTCGATACTTTCACATCACGCTTTAAGAAGTGTTTCTGAATTTTCGTTATCGTTTGCGAAATTATCAAACTTTCAACTCCGTCGAAATTTCGAATTAACCGAAAAATTATATCGTGGTTACCAGGCTTGTTTTAATTATCTCGAAAAAAAACATAGAGTTCTCACTTCAAAAGTTGTCATTCTGTGGAGCGAATTGAGAAAAAATGGAATTTTGTAACAAAGTTTGAACAAAAACTGTACGACTCTTCGATCATTTAAATCATCACAACACAACATAGCAATTTGAGTGGAGGGTCGAGAAAGTAAAAAAATCGCGAATGATTACTATACAGTGCTTCGCATTGTAACAAAAGAAAACTCGCGAAGGACTACATAAATGCTGTGATTTGCACTGCATTAATAACATTACTTCTAACCAATATTAGTCTGATTTACACTTATGCAAAATTGCTGATCAATTGGATATGGTATACGTGTATACACTTGATTTTTGTGTACTCAAAAAGTGAGTACACTCTAGAATCGGTCAGTGTGTCCGGCCGGCCGTCCATTTACACGATAACCTTTGAAAGAATAGTCCGATTGTCATGACATTTTCTACACAGTTTAGTCTTAACAATATCTCGGTCGAGTTCGAAGATGAGAATGATTGGCCGAGCCACTGCTGAGTTATTGCAAAAATAGCCATTTTTCCCTATGCTTCCCTACGAGAAGATACACCCTTCTCTGTCTTCGTAAAAAACTTTTCCTGTCATAGTCAAATAAAACCCCAACTATTATATACCATTTGATAGAGAATTTTACGAGCTACAAAATGGTATTTAAAACATAGGGAAACAAGAAAGTTAACTTACCTATTGCAAAGATAATTAAACGGAAATCGGTTCTGTGTTTGTCCACGCTCTAATTGATCCATAAATAGAGCTCTCTCTTCCGATCACAGAGATGATAGTTCGAGGTTTTCTGGGGTGGAGTACTCGAATCTGTGCTCCATTCGCCTCGAAATTCCATTGGTTGAGCAGTGACCAATAGAAATCAAGTTATAGGAAAAACGAGTTTCTTGGGGTAAATCAAGATGAAGAGTTCAAATCTGAGCTGTATCTGCCTCCAAATCCTATTGATTGAGCAGTAGCCAATAGAAATCAAGTGTTTATACAAAAGGTTTGCCAGGACAATTTTGATGTCCACACATTCTAGGATGACTCATCTGTCTCATTCACTTTTTGAAGTACACATAACTCTCGGATTTAAATCCGAGGTTTCCACATTTATTTATTACTTAATAATTGTTTCGATATAATAATATTAATATTAAAAAAAATATCATTTTTCTTGAATATAATTTCATATTTTAATGAAACATTCAAAATAAAAATAAAATCAATAAAAGAAAAGTTTCTTCGTACATAAAAGAATTTGTTTTTTTTCATAGTATTATTAAAAATAAAAATAAATCTTTAATTGAATTGTTAATTCTTATGAAACGAATACTTTTAAAAAATCCTTTCTTTATTATATTTTCAAACTTTTATTTATAAATTTTCTCCAATGTTAATTTTAATAATCTTCTTTATTTATCTTTTTCCAATCATCAAAAATTTTCTTTAAAATAGATACTTTAGAAAAACTTAAATCAGATATGTTGTTATCAGCTCCACATATGCATCCTGATTATGTACATCCTCATGAATTATCTCGTCTCAAAGAATTTTTAACCATTATTAATTCACATATTGATCGTTATTCTAAACATGAATTATTTGAAGATAGTACAATGCTCCATCAGCAACAAGACAGTCCTTCATCTACACTTGTGTTTTATTATGAACAATCTTCTTATTAATAAAACCGATATTGTCTGTCTGAAAATGTTGCAATCACAAGAAACAACTAGTAAAATAAAATGATGGTCATTTGTATGATTCGTTTATTAGATGTATTCTGAAATAATTGCTAGTAATCATGAACTTGTTGTTGTTCTTGCACGTGATAAAGCTTGTGAAAAGACAATAAATATTAATGCAGACGAAACTTATTTATTCGTATTACAATTATACGAAGAACGGAATAAATTTTCTTGTGAATGTGGGAAGAAACAGATCAGTGTCATTAATCAATGATGAAAATTGAACGATCCCACACATCTAATGTTTATTAATCATTTAATTAATTTAATTTAAAGTTTTCGATAAAATACGTTCATCAGGTTTTGTTCAATAGAATGAGTGAATGACAAAATTCATAGAAATCCATATTTATATTTGTATATACTATTTTATATTTCTCCTGATATTTTTGTTTATCCATCAGAAAGCGACTTTTGTCGAACTGCTGTGAGAAAACAATTATTGAAATCAAAATCACGCAAATACCTTATTCATACTTTAGGTGTTCGTCTTTTCTATTTTTTTATTTTAATTCAACAAATCTCTTCTTCCAGCACGAATTATTTCGTGCGTCTTTATTTAATAAAGAAAAAACAAATTTTCTTTACAAATAAAAGATTTATTATTGACGTGGTTGTTGTTGTTGAGTAGCTACATGAGGTTGAGGCGGTGGTTGTTGTTGTTGTACGGCAACACCTAGCTGGTCTCCTAATGCTCTTATTCTTGCCACCATGCCAGCAGTAACGACACCTGGAGCAGCTGATGCTAGTGCCTCCAGGGCACTAAGATGTTGTTCCATCTCAATCTCAGGTGAAACATACTGAGGTGGTTGAGGTGGTGGAATTATTACCACTGGATTCACCTCGATCGGACGCTAAAAAGAAAAAGAAAATAGATTATAAATTTGAAGAAAAGAGTTAGATTGAGTTTCATCAACCTCTGGAAAATATTTGCGCATTTTGCACATCACATATAACAAAGTATAGATCTCAACTGTTTTTCTTTTTTTCTTCTTCTTCTGTAGAAAAACGAACACTCTATTTCTATTGTGCAAAGAAGCCGAGGTCAAGAGAAAAAAAAGGATGAGGAAATGTTTCGCTATCGAGATATCAGAACGAGTAGAGAAAAACCCTTGATGATCAATGAGTAGAAATTTCTTTTGCTTTCTATCTGTTGTGATTGGTTGGTTGCTTATGTACGAGTGAGAGGACTGGCACCACACCCACACCCTAGCTGGGAGGATATCTAAGGTTTGTTAAAAAAAAAAAGTATTTATATAAAAGTAAAATAATGGCATGCTCAAAAGTAATCATGGGATATTGAAAGTCGGAGCTATTTAGATTCCAGTCAATTTTATCTCATTTTGTAGAGCGAATCACTAGGAAGTTTTCTATAGTATTTTCTTTTCTGTCTAAGTCGATAATAAGAATAAAAACAGTTTGAAATTAGTAAGCAATTTTAGCAAAAATAGACTAAAACTCGAATTTTTCATCAATTATCTCATATTTATGGATATTATTCTTCCTAATGAGAATAACTTATTATTGATGTATTTATATTATTTTGTAGAGCAAATTTTACTGTATCTATCGGTGATATTTGATAAGCTTTAAAGTAGCATGTTTGAAACTAAAACTGTAGATTTTTAAACCTAGCCTCAACTCCTAAAAATCGCTAAAATTCGTAGTAGGGATGTTCACAAAAATGCTTACTGATCTCCCATGAGAAGCTTCTTATGAAAAAAATAAAATATACGAAAATGTGCGCCGCAAAACGGGCTTTCAGAATATATGACTTTTAGCCAATTACGAGTGGTGGTAGATTTCGACCCTTATCCTGGGGGTCCTTTCTAAAAAGGCCTAGTTCAATATAATGTGAGATAAAAATATGAATCTAATAACATTATTTGAGGTTTGAGAGGTGAAAATCATCTCTAATTTGGACACATTCAGTCTCATTATATTTGAACATAAGAAATTAATTCTCCATGAAATATCAAGATCTCAAAAGTGCATTTGTACATGAAGCAGAATAACTAAAAATAATGAAATTTAAAAATATTTTTGATTATTTCAAAATATTATTATATTAGTATTTAAAAAAAGAAACATTTCATTTTCGTAGCATTCATTCTCTATTGATAGACTTTAAACGAAATTATTAAATACAAAAGATTCTAATTTCGCAAAAAAAGAAGTTAGAACTTTATTCTAACGATATATTATAGAATCTGTCAAGAAGTGTTTATATCCAAGTCAAAAACGTTATCATGCCCTCACTTTCTATACGCATTCATATCGATTATTTGTCAACACTTTATGTTGAAAGATTTAAAAACGACTTGCCCTATCTCCAATGTAATGAATACAACGTGACAGATGCTTTTATTTTTTATACACGTAAGAAAAGAAAAAAAAATGCAAAGCTGTAATTTTATCATAACGTTTTTAATAGAATGAAAAAATTGTTATCGAACACAAAAAAAGAAAGTAGTTTTTTTTTCTTTCATAAAACGCATACTCAACAATGTCAACTTGTTGTTACATAAAAAAGAAGTTTCTAACTTAAGACAAACAACAGAATGAATATCTCAATACAATATCCATGAAAACATATATAAAATATGCTGTCTTAATTCAATATTCATTAGCTCAGCTTTTAATACTCTTAGTCTTGTTTCGAGCGAAGATATCAAAAAAACCCATTATTACTTGTCCATAAATCGATATTGTCATTTTTCAAGGAAAAAAACCAAGCTGCAGAGGTGTTTTCAAAATGTTATTCGTAAATGCATTTGCAAACTATTTTAGTGTTGCATATTGGCATGTCGATTTATCAGGACTTATAAATCCACATATATTTTGAAAATTCTCAAAAATATAAACTAGGAAGCAATCTATTAGATGCCGGGTGTGGATGTGGATATAACAAGAGAAGACATCCGCATCCGTCATTTTTGCACTGGTTTATATCAAAATATATAAAGTTACATGATTGACTAGATTCAAAGGATTCCGATTTATTCGAAGAGATAACAGTAACACATGTGAACAAAATAGTCGATGATTCGTTCAATGTATTTTGTTCATATAGAAGAGAACAAGATGTTATCATTCTATTTCCATGTGAGATGGTAGTACAGTCTCAATCTATTTCATCAGATAAACATCGTTTATATGGTACTATTTTATTATTAAGAATAATACATTAATTTTAATATAGATTTCGTTCTCACTTATTTGAGTGAAACCAGTGAGGAATAAACTTTTTTTATACTCTATAAATACTTGATATCGAGGGGGAAATTATTCAAAAGCAGAAAATCGTATATAGTACAGGACATTATCCAATCGTATATTCATTCTATGATGATTCATCGGAGATAGCCTATAAATAGAGAAAGAAAGAATAAGATAATCACTTTATATTGAATCATTCTGTTTGTTAACAAAGAATAATCGACAAACATATCTGAATGTTTTATACGTTTTTTTTTCTAGATCATATTAAATTTTCAAATAGAAATATGAACAAAATTCAACGAAAACAAAATTCAAATCAATCTTATGTCAAAAAAATAAAGAAATTAGGACGTAAAATCAATATTGATAAGGAAATGTAAGTTATGTAGAAAAAACACAAATTTTAACAATATTAGATTTTCACATAGTATGTCGATTAGTTCTATTGAACATTTGTCCAACGAAATTTTTTATGAAATATTCGATTATATTGATGGTATTGATATATATGAAGCATTTTCAAATCTTAATTCTCATTTTCAACAACTTCTCAATTCATCATCTCTTTCATTGAAAATTAAACTTCGATCTTCAACATTGAATCAAATATTTATGAAAAATTATCAACAAATTCTTCTTCACAATAAATCTCAAATATTTTCCATTAATGTCTGGTTATCTACATTAAACAATCAATTTTTCACATTATTTCCTATCGATTTATCATTTAATCATCTCAAATCACTGATTATTGAAGGACTTGAACCAAATATACTTAACTCATTTCTCACTAATTTAGCTTATTTACCATGTCTTTCTTCGTTAACTATTAAGAGATGGAATCGTTTTACAAATCTAAATGGTATTTATCAATTAGTGTTTGCTTTACCGACATTAAGATATAATAAGTTCTCTTTAAATGATAACAAAAGTTCAATCTCACTTCCAACGGCTACTAATAATAAACAATTGAGTACTATCGAACATCTTATTATTAATCATTCTTGTAAATTCAATGAGCTTTTTGCTATATTATCTTATACATCTCAACTTCATCGTCTCCATTTTCGTGATACTGATGATGATGATACTAATATTGGAGTTATGTTACCAATAACACTATTAAATTTTACACATCTTTCTCTACGTATATACTCCACGACATTTGATAATTTTGAAATATTTATTCGAAAAATACATTCGAAATTAAAATTTTTACATGTTATTATACGATCGGATAATATTGATTATCTTGATGCTAATAGATGGCAACAATTAATTTTACAATATTTACCTCAATTAGAAAAATTTTATTTCGATTATTATATAGTGTTTGAAGATGATATTGAACCTTCAATATATATTGGAGAATCTAATCAATTTTCTTCATCATTTTGGATTGATCGACAATGGATATTTGAAAGTAAAATTCGTATGTATGAAATTATATATTCAATTCGTCCTTATACGTATGTATGATACCAAAAAGAAAACACATTTTTTTATTGTTATTTATTTTTCTTGTTATAGAAAAAAATGGTACGAATATGTACAACATGAAATTGTTAATTCATCAATTCAACTTTTTCAATCGGCTCAACTTGAACTTACCTTTATTTTTTATGGTGCAGAGTTGAAATTCTTAATTTCAAATATTAATTTAGTTTTAACTGTAGCAGATATTTATCATTTGAATATTTCCGATAGAACGATCTCTGTTGGTGTATTAATTCAAATCATCTATTTCTTACCTAAACTTATTTCATTAAAAATTTGTTCGTTATCATTTTCACAATCACGAAATTTATCGAAAAAACAAATTGAAAGATTTTTACAAATATCAGAAAGAAGTAAAATTACAAAAGTTTATTTTGAAACGACAAATGATATCGAAGAAGTTTATTTTCTCATGCTACTTTGTCCTCATATGAATTATCTTCAAATAAATTCTATTAATAATATTAATATCAAATTATTTATACGAAATATTTTAATCAAAATTAATAATGATTGTAATGAATATCTTCGTTTATTATTTATTCATATTCCAACAGCAGATAATCAAATGATTATAGAATTGAAAAAAATGATTAGTATGAAGAAATTACTTGTGGATTATGAAATAAAACGTGTAGTTGATCATATCTACTTACAATGGAGATAACCATAACAAGTCTGGTATTTACTGGCTCTACTCTTAATTGTTAAAAACTAGCATTTTTTTTTTCATTTTGCTCTCCTTTATATTATATGTTATGAGAAGAAACGTGGATTTGAAACAATGTTTCACGGAATTCTTCTCATATGGATTGCTAATATTCTTATTTATTTTTCATTATTTCTTTGTCCTCCTTATTTATACTTATACTTTTTTTTTCCTTTCACTTCTATGTACTGACAGAACCCAACTGATCATCCAAAAGGCTAGTAACAAAAAAAAAACAAAAGCAAATATGATATTGATTTTTTGTAAAAGATTGTTTAATAAATAGATGAAAATTTCAGGTACGCCAAGTTCATATGATTGAAATTCTGTCTGTAATTTGTATGAATCAATTTTCAACGAAAAGTATAGTTGGTGTTAGAATAACGTTTTCTCTTTATCTTTGATAAACATATTCGAAGTTGTATGTTTTACCATGTAGAAAGTTGCTCGAAAGATTGTTTCCAAAAAAAAAACCTATCTACTAACGACAAAATTAACTTTACACTTGGTTTTTGATCTAAAATATAGAGTTTATAGTTAGAAGAAATTTTCTTGGATATATATGAATAGTATAAGTATAGATGTTTATAATACAAATAAAAATCTAATATAAAGATACAAAGTTTTGATACATTTTCTGAGTCTTTTTAATACATGCTTGAATAACATTTAATGATAAACCATTTAAACCTTCATCGACAGCATTATCTAGTTCACGTTGTAATTTTGAATTCTTGGTTTTAATTTTTTGTTTGATAATGTTTCAGACTAATTCGACAGCATTAAACTCAAAACTAGAATCCAAAATCACAACGTGAACTAGATAATGCTGTCGATGAAGGTTTAAATGGTTTATCATTAAATGTTATTCAAGTATGTATTAAAAAGACTCAGAAAATGTATGAATACTTTGTATCCTCATATTAGATTTTTATTTGTCTTATAAACATCTATACTTATACTATTCATACATATCCAAGAAAATTTCTTCTAACTATAAACTCTATATTTTAGATCAAAAACCAAGTGTAGGGTTAATTTTGTCTTTGGTAGTATGATCATCTGTTTCGATATGATTGAGGGTGGGTGTGCGTGTCCATTTTATCTACGCCCACAGCCACACCCCACACCCACACCCTGATACATTACGATCCCCTTAAAGTTTGTCCGATTGGGCTGAAATTTTGTTTATAGATGCCTAACACTATTCCTCAGAGGTAAATTTAAGGATTTCCAAAAATCTCACTTTCGTTTTTTTTTATAAGAGAAATACGCCAAGATGTGAGTTTGTGCTTCGGGTCTTGGTTTTCGCGACCCTGTAACTTCGAGTAGGAACATCAAAAATGAAAACGCTTGATTTTACCTCTGGAGAATACTTCAAAGTATTAGTGGTAAAATTTTCAGCTCGATCGGATAACCTAAAAAGGGGGTCGTAAACAATCAAGATTTAGAAAATCGCTGTTTTACAAAACGCTAAGTAAAAGAAAGAAATTTACTTACGACTACTATGAAAAAAAAATTTTCTCGATCTAATAACTACGTAAAAATAAAATATTTAGAGTCGAATAATGTCTCTAGTTGTATGTGGCACTTCAGGCTATCGTATCTTAGGCTCAGGTCGAAATCGAGCTTTTGCCCGCCAAATAGAGGGGGGGGGGTATCCTTAAGTAATCTTATTTTCACCGATTCAGTTCATAAACTGTGAATAATTGTATGAAAAATATTTTTTTTTTATATGAACAAAAATATTTAAAATAAAAACTGACCAATCTTAATGTATCAACAAGAATCTCTGTCGCTATTATCATCATCAATAAATGAAGCTAGAACATATCCGCTAATCACTCTCCGAATCTAAATATGATTAAAATAATAAAAATAGATTTTTAAATGAGCGTGCAAAGAAAAATAAAATGTAAGTTCGTTTAATTGCAGATGAAATATTATTCTAATTGTAAATTAGTATGTTTTAATTCATTTCTAAATCTATTTTGAAAAAGTAAAAGACCATTTTCCATTGAAGGTGATAAATATCCTGCTTTATATATTCCAGCATTAAGATTAATTTGTACTTGTTCACAAATCATTTTATCTTCATTAGTTATTTCTAATGTTCTAATCATAGCTTGTTTTGCTTCTTTTATTCGATTTTCCATTTGAGATTGATTATTAGTTGAACGTATAAAAAAAATCATAAGATAATATTGTTCTATCTTTTTCTAAAGAAAGAATATGTTCAATACTATAACCTTTTTCATATAAATTAATAGCTAAATTGGGATAAATATAAGTCTAAAGAAATTTTTCTTGATCACTATCATTATTACGTGAAGGAACATAATGTATTGAATATAAATTATTTTTATTAGTAACTAAATATTGTTTTGATTAAATAGATTTATTAAGTGTTGAATGTACACTTGGAATATGATATCCTTCTTGATAATTTTCAACATAAGTTTTACAATTACAATTAATTAAATGATATTGACTTTGAAAATGATGATATTGATTAAGAGAAAATGACATCATATCATTTAATAATTTCTTTAAAATAATATTCATAGATAATTTTTCATTTGTATTAATCAAATTAATAAAAATAAATTGTTCAGTAAATATTTCCATATGAATTTTTTTAAAATTTAAACATTTTTTTTTCTTCAAATTTAAATTTATAATTAAAATTTGGTGTAGATTTTAATGTTCCATCACGAGAATCGTATAACCATACATGATATTGACATTTAAGTAATGATTAATTATCATAAAGTGCAATGCCATAATTATTCAAATTTATTGGTACTATTGAACCAGATCGATGAGAACAAACATTATGAAAAGCAATTAATTCATTTGTTAATGGACTACCATATATAAATATTGGTTATCCAGCAACTGTTATTGATAAATAACCATCTAAATTTTGTAATCTATCAAGTCGACCAACATAAATCTAATTTTTTGAAAAAATATTTTCACGTTCTAATTCATAAACAGAAGCATGATTGTAAAGGTATGGAGGTAATAGTCGACATAATTCTTTACTTGAATCAATATTTGAACTAACACTAGGACTTGTTAATCTTCGTATGATAGATTTTGTCTGTATTACAAATAAGTCTTGGAGTCTGCTTTATTACAGTAGCAAACGAACTAACAAATAAACAATTCATGCTGAAGATTTATTTTCAAACGAGAAGAACTTCAGTTATCTAACTTGTTATTCAAAGACAAAGTTTAATAAAGATAACAACTAACACATGTTATCTAAAAGAAATAATACGTATAAGCATTTATGATAAGACTCTTCTTATTTTTATCTTTTCTTTTGCTGCATTTACATAAATCTATATGGAAGTCAAGACTATCATTTTAACTATCATATAAGAGGGAACGTACAGGCACCATGCACCAATATTATTTTCAAAGATGCTGGAAAGGTGCTGAGCTGGCACCGAGGTGCCGAAAAAGTGCTGAGATACTCAAAAGGTGTTGAGATGGAGCTGAAATGGTACTGTGGTGCTCACAAGGGGAAAGTATAAGTGCAGAACCCCAGCACCTCAGCATCATTTCAGCACCTTTTGGTACTGAAAATTAGTAGTGGTAGGGATGTGTAGCTCACATTCGAGACAGCTGTTTCTCACCTATTGTAAGGAAAAAACATACCGATGTTCGGGTCAAATGAAAGAAGACTCTGGATAATCCCAGGATTGATCCGAAGAAGCCTATGTTTTGCCTTTACAATAGCTGAAAAACAGCTTCTCGTAATCTGATTGGTCGATACGAAAATGCTATCAACCAATCAGATTTCAGCAGAGTTTTTTCTCTATAGTAAGGACAAAACATAGGCTTGTTCTGGCCAATCCGGGGATTATCCGGGTTCCTCTTTCATTTGACTCGAACATCGGTATGTTTTGTCCTTACGCTAGCTGAGAAACAGCTGTCTCGACTGTGAGTTGTACATCCCTGCCGCTACTAATTTTCAGTACCAAAAGATGCTGAAATGCTTGGGTTCCGAACCTGCACTTTCTCCCTTGCTATTATATCTCATCACTCATTTTATTCTTGAGCATGTGTCAGAAAAAATTAACCTTGCAGTATTTTCTCGATATCCCTGTTAATTTTAATAGTTACTGACTAAGCTTTGTCTTAGAAGACTCAGCGTTCAATTCTCTACAAAATCATAGACAAATGTGTGTCATAGAAGTAGGAAGTGGCACATTTACTTTACTTTTTGTCCAGGTAAATACAGCATTTGCTAGGTATGCACCAGCTCCAATTTTGACTAGTCGACTGGCTACGAATCCGATTGGGTGACCGGTCTGACTATGAAAATATGAATAAGTTTAGTGTGGTTGTTAATGATTCATTTATTTAAAAATACAAACTCAAAAGTATAAACATGGAATTAAAATCGAATAAAATGTTAAGTAAATGGTCGAATACCGATAAATACTGGCTGATAAAAACATTCATCAAGTCGATTAACATTTATAAATCCAGCATCATTCATTAATTTTATTAATTTATCCGAACTAATTGCATAATAAAGTGAACGCATTGCATGTATAACAATATTTTTGGGCTTAAGATCTTCTTCAATAATATATAGAGTAAAATCATAATGGTAAAAATTGGTTTCATCAAAATCCCATACTTGTAAAGCAACATATCTTTTATCATTTTCAATTTTTGCTTTTCCATAAGGTTTAACAATATTTTTATCAGTACGTTGTTCTCGATCATAATCACGAATTGTAATCAAACAACCATCACCTGGTCGTAGACAAGAATATATTTGTTTAAGTGTAGATAAAATATCTTCGTCGATAAGAAGATGAGGAATTGAATTATCATATGATATAACTATATCAAAATTTCCACCATGATGTCTATAAACTGTTCTCATATCACAAAGAGAAAATGAAGTATTTGTTTATCCACGTTGTTGAGCTTCATATTTTGCTCGTTGAATCTCCCTACAGAAAGATCAGAAGTTGTAACTTGATAACCATTTTGAGATAAACCAATAGCTTGTGTACCTAAGCCGCATGATACATCTAAGATTGTTTTATGTTGAGGCCAATTTGATTCAATAAGACTTTTCAATTGAGAACCTTGTCGTTCAATAGATGCATTCCAATCTTCAAATATTACATGATAGAATGGACACAATTAGTCATAAAAGTTTGACATATCAGGAATAATTTCTAAATTCAAAGATAAATTATTTGAATATTTTAAAAGTTGCTTTGAATTATTTGTTTATAATATATTTCTATTACTTCATGTTTAATACTATAATTTTCGATAATGTTTCTTTCTCAACTGTAGATTTTTAATAGTTCAGATAAACTTTTAATATGTAATCTGTTCAAGTAGTTTCTCATCATTCGAAGAAGAGAACACATTGAACAAAATGGATAAATGAATGTGATGTATAGAAGAAGAATGAAAAATATATAGTATGTCGAGATTCATAACGAAAACAATGACAAGCACGTCCTCTTATTATTTAGACCATTGATACTGACAATAATAGTAGCTATAATTTTTTCATGTAAAGAACATAAAACCTGAAAGAGAAACGACAGAAGAGAAGCCAATGAATAGTTACAAGCTAGATGTTGGATGCAAATATGACTGATAAATTTTCAGAATATTGAAAATGAAACGATTAATAATAGGCACGTTTTTATTTTTTATAGAAGAAACTATTCTCTATTGGATCGTATGTGAAATCGAAAATGATAATACTATTGAAAAATATCTTTCACAATCCAAACATACGTTCCCAGAAATCCAAAATGTAAACATTTTCTACCATTTTCTTGTCTTTTACTTAGTCCTTTAGAACCGAAATAAGGATATAGTTTATATATTTTTAAGAGATGCTAATGATACATCATTGTTAATCGTACATCAAAAATCTCTAGCGCAGTCACCGATGGATTGGAAGCTGAATAGAGAGGGTAGTCCAAGTTTCTACTCTGTATACTTCAAAATCCTTTTAGATCGTGTTTCGAAAAAAAATGTATTGTATTAATGGACTAAACATTCTTGGTCTTCTGATCACATTACTGACAAAGCAAACAAATATGCGACGAATACCATTCGATACAGTAGTGGTCTTTGGAGACTCTGATTCAGACACAGGCAATGTTTATGACTTGACTTATCACTTGTGGCCTCTACCACCATATTTTCAAGGTCGATTTTCGAATGGCCCCATATCGATTGATAATTTGAGGGTACCTAATAAAATCAATTACGCATATGGTTCTGCCACGACGGACAACAATTTGATTCCAAGCATGGTGTGGCCAGAATCAACATCAACACCTGGCGTTCGTCAACAAATCGAAATTTACTTGAACAAGACTGATACTACCACAATCAACTTCGATCGCACACTTTTCATTATTTGGGTTGGTGCCAACGATTTTACTTACAATTCGACGATTAATTCTTCTTTAGTTGTTGCGAGTGTGTCAAATTCAATTAATGATTTACTCAAAATTAAAATCAAACATCTATTAGTTTTCAATCTATCACCTCTCCAAGGAATGCCGGGTATTCGTGCACTGAACCAAGACTCTCATTTTCGTGCTTTGACACTTCAATTTAATAGGGGTCTCTCGGATACGATTGCCTCACTGCAAGCTACTAACACATACGTATCTTTGGGCATGTTCGATATTAACTCGCTCGTCTCAAAAATCATCGCTAATCCCTCGATGTATTCATTTAACAATAGTGTAGATAACTGTTGGAATGTATCGTTGGACGGTGATATACAGATACTCTGTAACGATCCTGATTCCTACGTCTATATTGACGAATACCATTTCACCAGCCGCATGCATGAACTGTTCGCTAAGGAAGTACGCCGATTTCTACCATCCTCAGCTCGATCGAATGTTGTCTTTGGATTCATCAGTCCTGTTTTGTATTGGATGCTCTTGTTTATTCATGTTTCTCAGCATGAGTTTCAACACCTGACAACTTCCAATAATAGAAGCAAAACTGTAATATACTAAGTTTCATTTTTTTTTGACATTATAACGATAAAAAAACTCATAACGTTTGAAACACTAGTATTTCGTTCAACGTATATATGAATCACAACTCAACGATGTTTTTGGTGCATAATACAAAACTGTTTATCAACATACTATACCGCATACAATTGTTTTGAGTAGAAATGAGGGTGTGGGTGTGCATATCTTCTCCGACATCCACACCCACTGTTTGTTTTTCTTGCAATTAACAATCGATTTTGAATAATAAAAAATGTTAAATTGTAAATCATAACGATCTTCCATCACTTTGATCCATTTTTTAGAAGCTTGAATTTCTTTCGATTGAATGTCGATGATAACACTCGAAAATGGCGTATAGTTAAAAAAGAATTTCACACTTGGTAAATATTCAAGCCGCTTCAGAATGAGATGAGCGTCATTCATACTTTGAATTGAAGCTACTAAATGTTTGAAATGGGAGGACACTAAAGGACAGATTTTGTTCACAGTTAAGTTTGATTTTCCCACGGAAAAATCGCAACATATATCTAGTAACGATAGATTAGATGTTGGTTGCAACAGACTGGCGACATCAGACTAAATATCTGAATTGGCTTTATGAATCAATGTGCTTCTTAATTTGATTTAAACTACTGTTGATAGATCGACAGGTGTCGAAAGAAAAGAAACTCAATTCGAAGATCGTTTGCTGTTGAATTCGAGTTCGAGATTTTCTACTCTACGTAATATAGGGCGATGAATCGTGTCCATTTAACAATAGAAAGACAGAGTAATTCTACGACTTTAATTGCAACATATAGAAATGATATTCTAGCGTTCTGCTAACTCTCACAATGAAATTAAGTTAGTTAATAATGCTACTTCGAGAACTATTCCCTGAAGCGTCTATTTATTTCAATAAAAATTTTCAAATTGTTTCTAAATCAAGGTATTTTTGACATGTGAATGAGTGATGTTCCATCTTTTGTATACAAGAAAGAACGATTTATCGAATTTCCAATACACTCAGAGTCGAAAAATCAAATCCACCGTATCGATATGTCTATCGCAGTGAGTACGAAAGAAGGAGAGAATTTACTTTCTCTCCAAATATTCCAACATCAATGAATTGTCATGTTTTAAAAACAGCTATTTCGAAAATCTAGAGGGTGTGGGTGTGAGTATTGGTGTTGATCTGCTCTCTACCCACACCCTACACCCTACACCCACACCCCACACCCACACCTTCGATATTGTGAAAGGAAAACTCATTCTAAGGGTCATTTAGAGAGAATGAGTCGTATATCACTCGACTTTCATATGTTATATGTCAAAATGGCTAAATGTTTTTCAATAAAACATGTAAAAAATCTTTTGTTGTTTCATTGTCATGATTATTATTCTGTACATGTTTACTTAGTATGTGCTAATCCTAAGTCTCTCTACAGTTATAGAGCACAAGGATTCATTTCGGTAAGATTACTTCATCATGTATGATGTTCTGCAGAAAATATTTGATATGAGAAATTAATTAAAGAGATGTTTCATCAGTTTATTGAACTGTTAAGCATATGGATGTATCAACTTATCTGTTTTGAAATAATCAACAACGACTATAAGAAACACGTATGATAGATAAAATTTAAAAAGAAAAACTAAAACAAAATCAGCAACCAGTCCATTGCTATTGTTGATAAACAAATGGCCGAAGTTTTTCGATATTTTTTTTCTTCTTTAAGATCATTAGGTGTCGTAATGATAATGATGACATGGGTACTCGTTGTATATTTCTGGTTACACCAGCAACACTGAATACTTGTTCAAAATAAATTGATGTTGCTGGAATCACGTTGTATTAACGTGCAAGATCGCTTAAACGTGGTAATGCATGGACATTGTTTGTCCAAAATGTTTGGAAATTTATTAACTCATTAACTCGAATTAAATTAAGAAAGGTCATCATTTCGAGGTCAACGCTTACAGGTTGAAATGACAAAGGTAGAGAAGCTTTTTTGTCGGCAATATTCCTAAGACTGGCTTTAAGAAATATCATACGATAAAACTTTATGTGAGTGCGGATGTAGGGTGTATATAAGTTACATACAGAATAATAATCATGACAATTTTTGTATAAATTTTTTACAATGAATTTCAAGATCGAGCAGTCCGATTCTAAGATTGACTTGCCGACATATTTGGAAAACCATCTCTATATTTCGACTTGTCGATCACACTTCACCATTATTCGTCAGTTTCTCAAATAAACTTTTTCTGACCACAAAATAAAGCACATAGAGTTAAGATGTTTTATCCCACAACAATCGAATATTGTCAGTGACTTCTTTTCACTTTTTTACTATTGAATCTTCTACTGATACTACTTTTAAATCATCTTCTAGTCATAATTAAATAATCTGTCGAGAATTGTGTTACTTCTTGTAAGAAGTTTCGAAAAAAATTTATTTGTTTGTATGAAAAGTCTAAAATTAAAATTCGATAGTGGATAA